ACCCACCTTGTATTTGTCGGGGAAAGTTTGGATGCATCCGTGTTTTGAGACGTCTCAAAGCAGCCCCCAGAGTAGCGGACGAGGCTTCACCCACCCACCTGGTATTTGTCGGGGAAAGTTTGGATGCATCCGCGCACGCGCATGTCCCACAGCTTGGCCGTGCCGTCGTCGCTACCGCTGACGACCAAAGGGGGGCCTCTAGGCGCAGGGCAGCAGCTGTTGACAAAGGATGAATGCTCCGCCATCTTCTTTATCTGTTGTGGCAGGGGGGGAGAGGGAGGGGGGGGTGGGGGGGGGGAGGGGAGGAGAGTTTGGGGGGGCAAAGATTAGGGCACGAGGAGACGAGGAAGCAGGGAGGGAGGCTCTGGGAGCCGGGCAGCAGCTGTTGACAAACGATGAATGCTCTGCCATCTTCTTTATTTCCTACTCAGGAGAAGGAGGGAGGGGAGGGAGGGAGAGGGGTTGGGCGACGGGAGCGGTTGATGAGCAAGTCTTGAAGCTGCGCTGTGTGGTCGATGCTGCCACCGCCTATCAGCGCAGGCCATCTGGCAGTCACAGGCATCAGCTGTTGACAAACGATGAATGCTCCGCCATACTCATTATTGTTACCCCGAAAGGGTTGGGCGGGACAGGGAGTGGGAGAAGGGAGAGGCAGAGTGCTTTGCTCCAGAATTCATGCAAACACTCACCATTTCTCGCTCATGTTTACCCGTCTCTCAACATCCCACACCAAAACAGTCACGCCCTCCTTTGATTACCTGTTTCCCTGTCTCCACATCCCACGCCCGCCCGGTCTGGTCAGGGCTCGCAGAGACAATGCTGTTGCCATCAGACGTCCACTGCAGCTACCGCACAGCACATTGAATCCATGCAAATCACCCCTGCCACCTCTCACCTGCTTCCCTGTCTCCACATCCCACGCCCGCACGGTCTGGTCGGGGCTCGCAGAGACGATGCTGTTGCCATCAGACGTCCACTGCAGCTACCGCACAGCACATTGAATCCATGCAAATCACCCCTGCCACCTCTCACCTGCTTCCCTGTCTCCACATCCCACGCCCGCACGGTCTGGTCGGGACTCGCAGAGACGATGCTGTTGCCATCAGACGTCCACTGCAGCTACCGCACAGCACATTGAATCCATGCAAATCACCCCTGCCACCTCTCACCTGCTTCCCTGTCTCCACATCCCACGCCCGCACGGTCTGGTCGGGGCTCGCAGAGACGATGCTGTGGCCGTCAGACGTCCACTGCAGCTCGAGAATCACGTTCTTGTGACCCTTGAGCACCATGTAGTTGTCGCAATCGCCCTCTATGCGCCACAGGACTGAGAGGTGTGGGGGGGGTATAGAGAGGGAGGTGGGGAGGGGAGGAGTATGACGAATAAAGTCAAGGGTGTGTTTTCCGTGCCTGGAACCCTCGAGTCTCGAAAAGGGTGTTCTTGTGGCCCTTTAGCACCATGTAGTTGTCGCACTCGCCCTCTATGCGCCACAGGACCGAGAATAGAAAGACAGGTGGGGGATGCGGGAGGTGGAAAGGGGATGAAGGAGCGTAATTCCCATGACTTGACCCCACTGCAGCTCGAGAAGGGCGTTCCTGTGGCCCTTGATCACCATGTACTTGTCGCACTCGCCCTCTATGCGCCACAGGACTGGTGAGAGAGGAGGAGGGACGGGAGAAGAGAGTTAAGAAAGAAGAAATATAGGAGTGTTATTTTCCTTCACTGCAGGTCGACAAAGATGATTTTGTGGCTCTTGAGCACCATGCCCTTGTCTCACTCGCCCTCTGTGCGCCACAAGACTGCCGATAAAAGAAAGAACACGAAGTGGGAGGAGGGGGGAAACAAAGTAGTGTGCCTTTCAATGAAATTGGTGCAGGTGAGATGCTATGCTACACATGCACTCATCACTTGCGCGCTCATGACTCGTGCTCTCACCACTTCATGCTTTCCTCGTGCGTCCTGCTGTTTCATAGCGCACCATCCACCTCCCTCTAGAGACTGACACTGGCTTGCACACTACATCTTAAGTGGGGTGCACAGATGTATAGTGTGCAAAACAGTGTCATGTCGGCTTCTAGAGGGAGGTGGATGGTGCGCTACTAAACAGCAAGACGCACGACGATAGCATAAAGTGGTGAGAGCACGAGTCATAAGTGCGCAAGTGGTGAGTGCATGTGTAGCATCTCATCTTACTTAATATCAGTGCACCTCCAGCACAGCCTTCTTGTGGTTCTTAAGCACCGTGTAATTGTCGCACTCGCCCTGGCACATGACTGGGAAGAGGTGCGGGGATGGTTGAAAATGGTTCAAGTAAGAGAAGGGATTCACAGTAATGATTTCCTTCACCACGGCTCCAGAATGCCATTCCTGTGGACCTTGGCACGCCATGTAGCTTCTGCATTCGCCCTGCACACGCCACATCACTGAAGAGGAGGTGGCGAAAAAGAGATGCGGTGGTGGGAAGGAAGAAGGGGGGTGGCACTCGCACGGAAAAAGAAATGCACTCATACAAAGTAGTAAGCTTTTAAATAACACAAAAAATCACACTCACAAATCTCCTTGTCTTGTGAACCCGAAGCAATAACTGCCCCATCTGGACTGAACTTCATAGTGAATACCCCCGCCTGTAGGGAGGAGTGGCGTGGAGTGGAGGGATAAACGCATGCGAGAACTTTGCGCATGGGAGAATGATTTTGTAAGGGGGATTTGTGCAAAAGGGGGTGGGCACATGGGAGGGGGGGTTCAGGGGGAATAAGCGCATGAGGGGATGGGTGCATTGATTTGGAATAAGCATAACTGGAATAAGCGAATGGGGGATAGTTGCACGGGGGGGCAGGGGCATGAGGGAATGGGCGCATGGGGGGATGGGACGTTTAGGGGGGGGTTAGAGAAATTGAGGATGGGCAAACTGGAAATCTACCCATTGGTGTGAGTAGGAATCACTGCATTGCCCGTGAGCAGCATGATCGGAGCAAGCAGCGACGATGCCCTCTTGACTCCCTGCATGGCGAATGACAACGTGCAAAGCCATGCCATGCCATGCCATGCCATGGCCCGTTGGTGTGAGCACAGCACTCACCGCATGGCCCGTAAGCAGCATGATTGGAGCAAGCAGAGACGATGTCCTCTTCACTCCCTGCACGATCATTGGCAACGTACAAAGCAATGCCATCCCATGCCACATATGTCACACGAGGAGAGCGAGAGCAGCAGTTGCGCATGCTGATAGCACGCGCCATGCTGATAGCACGCGCCATGCTGATAGCACGCGCCATGCTGATAGCACGCGCCATGCTGATAGTACGCGCCATGCCCAGGAGGTCAAATCGGACATCGTGGTGATATGACAGCCCGCCATCTGAGGCGGCAAACCCACCACCACCCCAATTTCACCAAAAATGAACAGTCTTCAGTAGTCAACGGTCAACTTAACGGTCACAAAGGGCCTGACGGCCATAACGGGATATAGAGAAGGTTTAGGACGTAGATTTCGCTAGTGCACTTCTGTGACAATGGGGAAATTGAATACAAAGCGTAGGTGGGATGATATAATAATTGGCTAAGTTCGTGCGACATGACATTAAAATACATTATTTAGAACCCGTAAGGCCGTTGGGATGCCAGCGCCCTCTCTAATTCAGCCGCAGCTGCATCTGTCGATCTGATCATCAAGGAGACTTCGAGTTCCGAAGCGCGGGGTGTAATATATTTTTGCGGGTACACCTTCTCGCGTTGAAGGTCTATGGTTGTCACTAAGCGCAGGAGGTTAAGGGCCGGATAATGAATGAGCGATGGCTTACGTCTTTAGTGACAGCTAATTGCTTCCCCTTGTCGCCATCTGTCCCAGATGACGCCGGCACCAGATCCGTCCGTTGCCGCTTCGCCGATACCAGCTCCTGCCCCTCGGGGGCATCCCCGTCGCGCTTTTCCGGCATTCCGTCGTTCGCTGATTTACCAGAAGGGAGAAGATAAGATCCAAGCAAGCTAACAGAACAGAGACGATTTCTGGAACTGACAGGTCACGCCTTGTCGCTGGTCAGTTGTCTGGCACCCTGAGTGTGTAACTCGACAGCGGAGATTCGAAAACAAGGTGAGATTACGTCGCTCGATGAAATTAAGGGCGACTCGAGGGTGAGGAGGACAGCCAGAAATGCGAAAAGAGCTGGCTGGTTATTATATTCAAAACCCCTAAACAAGCAGGGCGTGGTTACACAATGCAGCCCGGAGACCTTTTGCTTCTCAATTCTACTTCCCTTGGTAACCGTGCAGTTTGGTACGGAGTACGTCGTGCGGTCAGCTCGCAAATACGACACTTGCGATTTACTGGCCTGAATGGAATTTCGCGAGCACCAAATTGTTTTTCAGAATGCGCTCGCGACAAAACGCGTAACAGAACGAATTCACGACAGCGACCTCGTATCGGTTACCAGTTTCACCGGACCTGAGGTCATCGCTACGTTGCCACGGTCTCAGAAACTAGGCAATCCTGAAGAACCTAATCAGCGTTCTTATCCGTTCAGTCGGCATTCCCAAGGCTGGTCGCGGGGGTATGCGATAGAAACCGCATAGGTTTCTACTCGCGAAATCGTCCATTATTGTGGGCGATTGTATCTCCACGTTGGTAACACGCTGGCTTTTTCTTCATCTCCACCACACGCGAGAGACAGTGTCGCCTCGATTCCGAATAGTTGGCTTCTTTTGCAAGGCTCGCATGCAACTGAAACCAGACCGCACTTTGCGTAACGTTTTTCCGACGAGCCGCGAATGCCGTCTCAGATTCCGCAATAAAGACTGACTTCAAGGCCGCAACCTCCCGTCAAACCTATCTGTCAAGCCCATAGGCCTCAAGGTCTCCCGTTTGGATTTTATCCGTTTCATCAGGCTTTTTGCTTTGTTTTCTTATTTCGTCTCGCTTATCTCGAATATTATCAAAATGGAGCTTCGTGCGGTGGACCTTACTCACGTTCGTTACTATCACGACGATCCCCTCGGTGTAGTCATGGCGTGGGCCTCGCTCGTCCCCGTATTCATCGCATTCGGCTGTCTCCCCACCCACGTGGTTTTCCGCCGCGATTTGCGGACCATGTTCTTCTTGCTCGGCCTTCTATTGGACGACACGTTCAACCACGTCATCAAGCACTCGCTGGAGATGCCACGTCCGCCGCACACGTGCGCTGCGCTCGAGGTGTGCGATTCGCACGGCATGCCGTCCGCGCATTCGCAGTTCATGGCGTTCTTTGCGACTTTCGCGACGTGGCTCGTGTGTTACAAGATGGATTACGAAGACGAGAGGTGGCGATGGGTCACCGCCATCCTCCCCTGGCCCTTCACGTTTCTCACAATGGCCTCTCGGGTGTACCTTGGATACCATACGATACCGCAGGTGAGCTTGTATGGGGTATGAAATTGGAGTGGGTTTATTTACTGTAGTGATTGAATGTGATAAGTGGCATGTGGAACAGTGAGCCAATGACCAATCAAAGGCATAGCTGGCATATGGAAGGTTGTCACCCTCTCGTTCACATACATGCTTCTCCCCCCCCCTTCATGTCCCCCTCCCCTTCATCTCTCCCTTCCCCTTCATCTCTCCCTTCCCCTTCATCTCTCCCTTCCCCTTCATCTCTCCCTCCCCTTCATGTCCCCTCCCCCTTCATGTCCCCTCCCCCTTCATGTCCCCTCCCCCTTTATGTCCCCTCCCCCTTCATGTCCCCTCCCCCTTCATGTCCCCTCCCCCTTCATGTCCCCTCCCCCTTTATGTCCCCTCCCCCTTCATGTCCCCTCCTCGTTCATCTCCCCCGCCCCGCTATTGTCAGCGAGGGCTGTTCCCTGGGCACTTAACAATCTCTCAGCCCAGTCCCAATTCAAACCATTGAAATGACTGCCTTTCCGCCCTTATCTGGGAGGGGCCCAATGAAGGCACACTCTCGTAATCCTCTCTGCCTCCACCTGATTCTACGTGGTGCACCGTATGTTTATACTCTTCTTCCCTGCTCCTCACTGATCGTCGTACCTTCACCCTGCATTCACCCAATCGATCCCTCTCCCCCCCACCCAGGTCCTTGCAGGCTTCACTCTTGGAATCCTCTCTGGCTCCTTCTGGTTCTACGTGGTGCGCTGTGTGTTTGTGCCGTTTTTCCCTCTAGCTCACCACTCTTCGCCCCTTCACTCTCCATCAACCCATCCCTCTCCCCCCCACCCAGGTCCTTGCAGGCTTCACTCTTGGAATCCTCTCCGGCTCCTTCTGGTTCTACGTGGTGCACCGGGTGTTTGTGCCCTTCTTCCCAGCCATCTCCGACAGCGCGTGGGGGCGGTACCTGTGCATCAAGGACGACTGCCACATCCGCAACGTGGCTGTCTTTGAGTACCTCAACTCGCAGCGAGTCAGACAGGAGCAGCGAGCGGGAGTGGGGCAACAGGAAGCGCAGAAGCCAGAGCAGGAGAAATTGCTGGAGAAATCTCAGGAGAAAACGCAGGAGAAAGTGCAGCAGGAGAAGGAAGATGCGGTGGGTGAGCAGCAGGGGGGTAAGCAGCAGCAGGCAGCAGAGGAGAGTGCAGCTGATGGATCTGCCAAGGCAGAGTAGACTAGGGGGGAGCTCAGACGTCTGAGGGGGCGCATGGGGGCGGTACCTGTGCATCAAGGACAGCTGCCACGTCCGCAATGTGGCTGTCTTTGAGTATCTCAACTCACAGCGATCGAGACAGGAGCAGTGAGTGAGAGTGGAGAAGTCCGAGAGAGAGGGGCAGCAGAAGTTGCAGACTGCAGAGAAGGGAAATTGCTGGAGGTAATAGAGCAGGAGAAGGAACGATGAGGTGGGTGGGCAGCAGCAGGGGGGAAAGAGCACACGTGATGGTTCTGCCAAGACGGAATAGATTGGGGGAAGGCTCTAGCGGGAAAAGTCCCACGTTTTGGAGATTTGAGGCTCGTTATTGTGTGTTGGACGCTGTACGAAATGAGCCATAAGACTTCCCTCCTTTATTTGGTTTTGTAGCATTGCATGTGCTGAAAATGCTCTTGGTGCACTTTCACTTGTGCAAAATTGTTACGAGTGCAATTGTGCGAGCGAGAATTGCACTATCGAAGCGAAACAGTACATCGAGCGAAGGAATGAGCGAGGACTAAATAGCGAAAGGTCCTAGTGGTAACGGTAACGAACTGTGGGTGGTGCGCGACGAGCCTGGGACTGAGGTCGGGAAGTGTCGAGGCGGAGGCCCGGAGCGCGGGTTACAGGGTGGTTTTCGATTTTGTCCAGGGGTACCCAGTTGTCTTCAGTCGGGGTGCGATCTTTCCAACGGATCAGGAACTCGATTCTGCGAGCTCCACGTTGTCAAATTATAAATGTACTATATATATACATATGTGTGTGTAGGCTGTAGTGGGGTAGCCAATATGGGGTATAGCCCCTTTTCGGTTTCATATTTGTACCCAACTTCATTCTAGTCCATTCATCTCTGCTAGTTATTTCAACATGGTATTCAGAGCAGGAGGTCCCTAGGACCTCAGGATCGATTTTTTTTAGGGCCCACCACCAACCGCTCGCGGTTACCGTGCTACCCCGCGCTCTGCCCTACCCTGCCCTGCCCTGAGCCGCGTCGCCTTCGCTGGCAAGCGCGCCGCTCACCAAAAGCCTCGCGCACGCCTTGCTGCCCGTCGCGCTGCCCCGCAGCCCCGCGCGCCGCCCGTCGCGCTGCCCCCCAGCCCCGCGCGCGCCTTGCCAGCCCGTCGCGCTGCCTTGCAGCCCCGCATGCGCCCTGCCGCTGCCCGTCGCGCTGCTTCGCGGCCCCTCGCGCCAACTCCCGCGCTGCCCCGCAGCCCCGTGCGCTGCCCGTCGTGCAGCCCCACGGCCCCACGCGCCGCCCGTCGCGCTGCCCCGCAGCCCCGCGCGCCGCCAGCCCTACTGCTGCGGCCGCCTGCCCCACCCGCGTGCTGCCTGCGCAGCTAGCGAGTCGCCCAGACAGCCCACGCGCAGCTTGCGGCTGCTTTGCGCGCCGCCCTTGCCTGCTGCCTGTGCCTGCTGCCTTTGCCTGCTGCCTGTGCCTGCTGCCTGTGCCTGCTGCCTTTGCCTGCTGCCTCTGTCTGCTGCCTTCGCCTACTGCCTTTGCCTGCTGCCTTCGCCTGCGCTGCGATTATGGCGACGCTTAATGTTCTCGCGTTTGAGCCTGAAGGTAGCCCGATTGAGTTTGCCACTTGGCTAGATGACCAGCAACTGTTTCTTATGACTGATGCAAAAGACGGCGTTTCACTGTTCGATCACACGTCTGGCACTGCCGTTGCTCCTGCTGACACTGCTCCTGCTCTTGACCGCTCACAGTGGCAGACTCGCGATGCTGCTGCGCGCCTCGCTATTCGCAATCATCTGCCGATCACTGAGCGCGCGCATTTTAGCCAGCACAAGACTGCTAAGGCACTGTATGACGCTGTAGTTGCGCGCTATTCGTCCCCAGCCACTGCAGCCGTAGGTCGTTGCATCCTACCCTACCTGTTCCCAGACCTGTCCTCGTTTGCCACCGCTGAGGACCTTATCTCTCACCTCCGCGCTAGTGACGCTCGCTTTCGTGCCGCCCTTACAGACGACTTCCTCGCCAAGAACCCCCCCCCCCCACCCCCCCGTTGTACTTTACCCTCTGCATCCTTGTCACCCGCCTCCCTGACACTCTCAGTTCAGTCAGGGACCACTTCCTCGCCAAAGACCCTACCACTCTCACTCTAGCCGACTTCGAGCAACAGCTCCTAGGGCCACAAAAGAACATCCTCGCTGTAGGTGCTGCTCGTGGCACTCCTCGCACTCCCCTCTTTGAGGGGTGCTCCCCCTCCCCTCTTGCCCCCTCCTACGCCTCTGCTGCTGCTGCCGTCGACCTCCTCGGTGCTGAGAAGGTCGCAGCTGCTTCCGCTCCTAGTGGGAAGCGCAGCGGCACCAGAGGCGGCAAGGGTGGCAGGGTTGGGGGAGGTGGCGGTGGAGGGAGCGGTGGTGGAGGCGGCGGGGGTGGTGGAGGTGGTGGGGGTGGTCGTGGGGGTGGAGGCGGTGGGTGGGGAGGCGGTGGGACTGGGAGCGGTGGAGGAGGCGGCGGCGGTAGTGGGGGAGGAGGCAGCGGTAGTGGTGGCGGAGGTGGGGGCTGGGGTGCGGCCGGCCCGAAGGGGAGCTCCAGTGGTGGCCCGGGGCAGCACCAGCAGCAGCGTCAGCGCCAGACCCCCACGTCTCAGCAGCTTCATGACTGGTACGCTCAGCGTGGGGCGTCTGGGGGTCCTGGTCGCTGCCCCTATGTCATTCGCGCCGGTCCCCGCGCTGGTCGCCCATGCAACGGTTTTCACACTGAGTACCGCTGCTTCGCTAGGCTTAGCGACGCCTGGCGCGCCAAGTTTCCTGATGCTACTGAGTTCCCCAACTGGGCTGACCTGCTTAGGCGAGATGTCCCTATCTTTGATCTTGACTATGATGCAATTCTTGCTGCCATGTATGCATTGACTGTTAGTGCTGAGGGTGACTGCTACTTGTGTGTCCCACCTGACCCAGGTATAGAGACTGCAGCCCTAGGTGCTAGTGAGTTTGCTCTCTCTGGTACTGCGCCTGCTGAGGCTTTGCACACCTTCACGCTTGACTCAGGTGCTTCCCGCTGTTTCTTTCGCGACAGCACCACAGTCACTCCCCTCCCTGCACCTGTCCCTGTCTCACTGGCTGACCCCTCTAGGGGCCCAGTGCTTGCACGAGCCACGACTGTGCTTCCGTGCCCGGCGGTCCCGTCCGGTGAGCTGTCAGGTCTCCACATCCCCTCGTTCTCTACGAACTTGGTGAGCACCGCTGTCCTGCAGGATCACTGGGTTGACACTTTTACTCCTGGGAGACAGCGTGTGACGCACTGCACGTGCTCTCGGACCGGCCGCCACCTGGCCACGTTCACACGTGCGCCTGGGTCCAGTCTGTACACCCTCACCACAGTGTCGCGCTCCGCCCCTTTGTCTCCTCAGCTATACGCGTCTGCTCAGGTAGCTACCCAGTGTGAGTGTCGCAGCCTGTCGCACGACAATCTCCTGTGGCATCACCACCTTGGTAACCGATCTCTACCTCGCCTTCGTGGCATGCACTCTCGCCTCCTGGTCTCTGGTCTTCCCAGGTCTCTGCCCGCCCTCCCTCCCTCGCCTGCCCCGCCCTGCATTCCTTGCGTCGAGGGGCGGCAGCGCGCCGCTCCTCACTCCTCCTCGTTCCCTCCCACAGAGGCTCCACTGCAGACTCTCCACCTAGACGTGTGGGGCCCAGCCCGCGTCCAGGGGCAGGGTCGCGAGCGGTACTTCCTACTGGTTGTCGACGACTACACGCGTTACACCACGGTCTTCCCCTTGCGCAGCAAGGGTCAGTTCCCCGATGTTCTGATCCCCTGGATCCGCGCTGTTCGTCTCCAGCTCCGCGAGCGGTTCCAGTCAGACTTTCCTGTCCTGCGTCTGCACTCTGACAGAGGTGGTGAGTTCTTCTCCGACCTCTTGCGAGCTTTCTGTGAGGAGCACGGCATCCGCCAATCGTTCACGCTTCCGGCCTCTCCGCAGCAGAATGGGGTTGCTGAGCGCCGCATTGGCTTAGTCATGGAGGTCGCTCGTACCTCCATGATCCATGCGGCTGCCCCCCATTTTCTGTGGCCGTTTGCGGTCCGGTACGCCTCGCATGAGCTCAACCTCTGGCCCCGTGTCTCCTTGCCGGAGACCTCGCCCACGGTCCTATGGACGGGGGAGGTTGGCGATGCGTCGCGCTTCCGGGTCTGGGGTGCTCGTGCCTTTGTCCGCGATACCATCGCGGACAAGCTCTCCGCTCGCGCCATTCCCTGCGTCTTCCTTGGTTTTCCTCCTGACGCGCCTGGCTGGCAGTTTTACGACCCCGCTTCGCGCCGTGTCTTTGCGTCTCAGGACGTCACCTTCGACGAGTCGGTCCCCTTCTACCGTCTCTTTCCCTATCGTACTGCCGCTCGCCCCCCCCCTCCGCTCTTTCTCGCTCCAGGTCCTCCCCAGGTAGACCCCCTCCCCGCGCCAGGTCCTGCTCCTTCAGGTGTTTCTCAGGTAGACCCTCCTGTGCCTGAGCCTGTTGAGGTCACTGGTGACTCAGGTCCTGCTGGGGGTGGTGCTGCTCGGGGTGCTGCGTCTGGGGGTGCTGAGCCTGAGCGTGCGGAGCCTGAGGGTGCTGAGCCTGGGGGTGCTGAGTCTGGGGGTGCTGAGCCTGCGCGTGTGGGGCCTGGGGGTGTTGGGCGTGTCTGGAGGTGCTGAGCCTGAGCGTGAGGAGACTGGAGGTACTACGTCTGGGGGTGCTGAGTCTGGGGGTGCTGAGCCTGAGCGTGAGGAGCCTGGGGGTGCTGAGTCTGGGGGTGCGGCGCCTGAGGGTACTGAGACTGCTTGTGCGCGGTCTCCTTGGAGTGGCCGCCTTCGTCCGCGTGCGCCTCTCTCCCCACAGCAGCTGCACGAGTGGTACGCTCGCCGTCAGGGTCGCGCTGCTGGAGCTCGGGGCTCTGCCGCTGGAGGCGCTTCTGCTGACGTCCCTGGAGCTGGGGGTGCCGGTTCAGAGGGTCCTGGAGCTGGTGCAGGAGGAGCCGACGACGCTGGAGCTGC